CAGAATAGGAGAAGAGTATGACAGAGCTCCCTAGAAACATAGCCACAACTTCAGGTATCATCAAGAGAGTTAATTTGAGATACAGCATACTGTTAATGATATATGATAGGCTGTTTATTTCCCTTTGATCCTTTTAAACAAATCAGGTCAATAATATTTGGCTGAACCATCCAGCAGCAGCCTCCAAGCCCCCAGTCGACTGGGACATCCAAGGCCAACCTTGCATACATTAACAATAATACAAACTAAAACTCAAGAAATGTTATTGAAATGAAACCAAGTAGGGCAACGAGTAGAGCTGTGCCTCCACACTGCAGTGTATCAATGTTACTAACCATCATATTTCATGAGTACATGAGAATGAATGTGGTTACATGAGGCAACATTTGTGGACTCTCCTGTATCCACCTGCGTCAGTTGGTTGAAACTGCGTGGGCCGACCTACTTCTAACAGCAACGGGGGGGTGAAGTTGACCAGCTCTCCTTACAGCGCTCACCTCTGAGGAATGGCACAGTAAGAAGTAAGAAGGATTTTGTGAGGAGGCTGGTGAGTGGGCCAAAGCAAAGATATTAAAGAAATGGAGTCAGTTTCAGGTTCAGATACAGGATGAAAAACTCTGAGGTGTGGGTCAATCAGTTGGGTACCAACAAGATTTATAGCTTTTAACCTAGTGATGTGTGTAGTTTATTGACTGAATGGTGAAAAGCAGGTTATGGCTGGCCATACATTGACATTCGAGCTGGAAGTCAGGCCTCTTAGAGACAACCATCCACATATCAAGTCTCTCACAACGAGCGTCCTCAATACCACAACACCAGCGTCAATACAACCTAAAATATCTAGACATCGGCAAAGATGTGTACACTGTGCAAGAGCAAACATATATCTTTTGCTCACTACACCACAGATAATACACTATCCACATCCTCACAGCAGTGTAAACACACACCTATGAGGGTGAAATATAATAACACCTGGAAAAACACCGGCAGCATCGCGGGGTCAAACAACTGCCACCAGCTAGTGCTGGTTCAACATAAGAGACTCTGTGAATCATCTGAGTGAGAAGAGTCATGAAACCCTTCCTAATTTGTTTGGGAGAATACATAACAAATGTCTCCACAATTACTGTCTGTTTAGCAAAAACGAAAGCCATGCAATCCTGAAAACTCAGATGTAACAAGCTCAGTTTTAAAGGCTTATATAAGGCTATATTTCAGCCAGTTTGGGGGGCATTTCAACCTCAGAAACATCTTTGTATTCTGCAAATGTTTCCATGTAGGGATAAATTCCACACTCATCATATCCTGAATGTTCCTAGTTAATTCTTATGTATTTTAACTATTGTCTTCTTTTATGGCCACTTTTTGGCCAGATAAGAATAAACTAATCACAGCTGGAGGATAAACTAATAGCACAGTTGTTTGATGGCATTTTCCTCTGCAAACACAGATGGGATGCCAAATAAAGAACTGAGTTGTGTCTGGAAGCATTTTAAATAGGGCTTGGCACTCACCACCAGCTGACCATCTGAAACACTTAGCTATTAAGTGTCTAGCTTTGCTGGCTCAAATCAGTCATATTCATTTATTGGACACAGCTGCTCATCTACTGGTCATGGTAAAATATTGGATCCTTCAAAAACAAAACACCACAGGTTTCTTTTCTATGAAAAACAAATGTCCATAGCACATTCTGAGTCATTCATCAGAGAAAGGGTTTGTGTTCATACTCATACTCACCAAGCTTGAGTTGGTGTTATTAGTGTCTTCTTCAGGCATGGGCAGGAACACAGCCAAAGCAATACAGTTTGCAAAGATGGTCAATAAGATGATGATCTCAAAGGTTCTGGATGGGGAAACTCAGGATCATAACAACAATACATGAGGTGGACTTGATGATAATATTTGAGTTAACAGTGTACATGTCCAATAAAGTCAGTCAAGATATGCTTTTATACATTTCTTTCATTTCTTTCTCTATTTGTGTGAGTTGTTCTTGTATTTCTTGTGATGTGATATAAACAAATAAAATAAATCTAACAGCTCCATAACGCTAACACTGGTCAGTGCTTAATGCTGCTTGAAACATCATCCCTATAACAGCCCATCAGGTAGCCAGCAAAGCGGTCACAGTAAATGTAATCTTGTCTGCTGTGCTGCTTCATTCTCGTCCATAGGGGGCTCTCTAAGAGAATTCCCCTGCCAGGTCAGCATCATGTCTCCCTGTGATGCCGTGGGACAGCTGCACAGCCCAAGAATATGACCAATCCATTTAAACACAGAGTACTCATCAGAAAAAAAGCTGTTTGGTTATTCTTTGAGATACTTATTTATTCTAAAATATGTAAGCATTAATAGAATGACAATAAATAAGGGGATTTTAAGGGTTCAGTCCATTTCTATAATTTTGCTCTAAATGCCGAAGGCATGTCCTGTGTAAAAGTAATAAAATACCAATGTGATTAAACTGCTGCAGTAAAAACTCATGGCCTGGCAATGAGGCAGTTGTCATTGCATTGATATGATGACTGGATTCTATTTTGGATGTAAAATATGTATTAACCAGGAATGGACATCAGGCTAAAAGCAGGGAACCCCCTATAGGGGCCATAACATCACTCAGCAGCCTGCCTTGTGTTCGTGCCTCACTGAGTGTCAGCACTTCAGAGCAGCTATTTCCACATTAAAAGCAGAATTTCAGCTATCAGGAAGCCAAGAGGCAGCTTCACTAATTGTTTATGTCTGCCAGATGTAAATAGACAAGCATAAAAAGCCCTCCAGGTGAAAACATGAAGGCTACAAACTTGACTTTGCCACAGGGCTGCCAGATACATAACAACAGTCTTAACACTTCAGAGATCGCCTTAACACAGATTTGAAAGAGACTTGCTTGGCTGCGCTCACCACAGGTGAACTAGATGGCCGATAATTCACTGGCCTGCAGACACCTAATTTCTGTAGCTGTCAGGGTTCTTAGCCAGAGCCTGTAATAACTCCATATAACTCCATAAGTTCAGTATCATACATTCTGTAAATACTTCTGTTTTAAGGGCAGATTTTTGAAGCTAGTGTCTACTTTATCATACAAATACAAAAGTCTGTGAGTTGTGTATAATGTAGGTCTTGTGTGTGTGTTTTTGTGTAAGATATAAAGGATACTTCCACTCCACAATGTTGATGCAGGCCTTGCGGAAGGGATTTTTGAGGGTGAAAAGGAAGAGGGATCTCGCTGGTCGAGGGTTGCCCCCAGTGGCCTGTAGCTTCTTCAGCTTCTCCCTCTGCTTCCTCTTCAGCTCCTCTTCATTCATGATGACCGGTTTGGCCGCCTCTCCGTTGGCCGCCATCTTGTCGCCTCTACCTGAGACAAGCTCCCAGTCGTCTAATAATGTGTCCTCTCACTTTATAATCCCAAATGGAGGCACTGTATAGCTCCTCGTTGCGATGGCACCCTGAGTTCCAGACCAGCTGATCCTGTGTACGCTCCTCCGCCGCCCTCTCTCCCCTCTTCTCTTCTCCCTCTGACTCAGTGTCCCTCACACAGAGCCACAGGCCTCTCCTCCTGGCTGAGGGCCTCTGACAGAAAAAGCCCCCACGGCAGGGAAAAATAACAGGAGCCCAGAGTGGCTGGAGGAGCAGTTGGCCCTGCTGAAGTTTAAATTTAGACTGTGAACCACTGACAGCCCATGCTTGGGGATGGTTAGGAGGGTTGGGGGTGGAAGGTGGAAGAAGTAGATGGGATCAAGGGGTGGGGGGTTTGGGGCAGGGCAGCAGTGGCAAACGAGAGCACAAGGAAGGGGAGAGACACAGTTTGGGGGAGTCTTGCAGTAGCAGAATATCACCACTAGCCCCCCTGAACCTGCCCTCCCTTTCAAAGCAGGCTCAGCTGCTCTGCTGCTGGACACTGTTGAACCCTAAACTGTGTAAAAAACAGTGAGCGGAGAGGAGACACACGTTTCTGCCCCCGGTGTGACATTGTGCAGGTGGAAATAATTCTTGCAGGAGCTAAAGATCACACAGTGTGCTTGCATGTGGGGCATTTGTGCAAGACATTTAAGGCTGATGAGGTTTGGAACGCTTTACTTTAAACCCCCAAATAAACATTTATAAGTAGTATATAAGTATTTAATAAATGCTTTATAACACACCATAATGTACATATACAAGTATTTATTACACATGTATTTGTCAAAGATTATAACTCCTCTTTTGGGCACCCATGTGTGCAGGGTGGTGTATAAACAGATAATGAATGACAATATAGTAAAACACTGTTGTAATATGTCTTCATAGGAGAAGTTGTAATAGCGTACAAACACTGTACATTAATAAACACTCAAAAATGTCCTCAACTATTGGAACAACTACACTATAGTGTGTCAAACTATTTATTACATTTTTATATATCGTGCTTTAAAAAGCTAAATAGGTGTTAATGTAAAGGGTTTCCAATGTGGATCACAATATAGGAAATGTAAGCAAAAATAATACATGAACTTTAAACGCATGTTTAACAAAATTAATTGTGTTGCATTGTTGTGCATTACTTCCGACAAAACTCTTCAAACTCTCCGACTCAAAAACTTGAACACCTCATTTTGTGATTTCATGATGTGCTCAGAATCAGTCATTTGATTTGCAAAACGTTAACACAATTTAAATCAAAAAGTGGATAAATGATAATATTGAATTAGTAAGCATAGTGCTACATATGATTTTGGCAATAAGTATGTAGACACAAGTTATGATGACAACATAATCTTTGATATGACATAAGTGAAATTGTTGAAAGTTTTCCCCAAATCCGAGCACACCAAATGTGAGGATTAATTTGATAATAAAACAGTGTTTCTGTACAGTACAAAAGTAAATTTCATGTTTTGAGCCAAAGTATTGTGAACTGTTGCTCCCTACTGACAATAATCAGTATTAGTGACAGCAGCAACTAAAAGAATATCCCCAAACATCGGCAGGAATGAAAAAAAAGTCTTGCACTCAACCGAGCTCACCCAGTGTTGTTTTTTTATTTAACATCAAGCTGAATGTATAGACATGAACAGTGCGATGCTCCAGTTAGGCTGGAGATAAATACAAAATCACTAATACCAGTGATATGAAATTATACTTAAATCAATCAATTAAAAACACTTCAATGATAAAACATACAGATAAATAAACTTCAGTAGTTCACATGAGGTAATACGAGTCAGTGTGCCTTTCTTTGTCGTATTAAAAATTCCCCAACAGGGAGCTTCAATAGTAAGATACGAGGGGGAATTTACTGACACATAACGATGCACACGAGGGCCCCTCAAAGCCATGAGGCAACCTGATTCTGCCTTAAACGCATTATCAGCAGTTTTACTGATTTAGGACATTCTCCAGTGGCAGAGATTTGATTCAACTGAGGATGCTTTAAAGCTCTTTTAAATGCCCCATTCTCCATTTCTCTCTTTGCATGGGAAAATACGTTCCATCAAACTGCAAAATACAGGACAAAATGAAGCCTTGTGCCCAGCTCACTGTGACCATCCGTTATGTCTTACAAGCTGTAAATCGCTAACATTTAAGTGCCAAGTTCTGGAGTTTGCTGTAACAAATTCACCCACACAAGGAGAGAAACAGGAAAGGCACATATTGGGGCTATATTAAAAGTAGCAATGTCAAAGCTTTAAAATTACAAAGCTCAAAATGTACAATCCTATTATTACCCTATTAGTGCAATTGATACTAAATATGCCAAGGAAAATAATTACAGAAAAGAGGGACAAATAAATTATAATAATTATAATAAATAAATTATTATTTGTGCTAAAATAATATGGCAATAGTACAGGTGGGGTACTGTTTCTAACCAAATAGCTTAACTGACCATTCACATACATAAAGTTCACCTGTTCTGAGGTAACTTCATCAATTATGCTACAAGAAAACTGCTTAATATTATACTGATTTAGCAAGTAGCTAATGGGGAAAAATTAGCATGAGGAAGCTTAAAAACTTTTCAGTCTGGCTAAATAGAGAAAATCAAGACATTCAAAATCAGTTGCATTGCAAATTGCTGAAATGATTGAGATGATTTCTAGCAGTTTAGAGAGCGAAAGTTTTGTTCAACAACTGCAACTTAGCCTTAAGTGTTACACATGATAAATAAAAGAAAGATCTGCTTGTTAGATCAGTATGTTTAAATGTTTCTCAGGGAGGAAATACTTATTCAGAGGGTGCAGTAGACAGCAATGACAAAAGGGTTAGTGACAGTGCAGCTGGTGTAATAGCGCTGAGCCTGGGGATGTTACCTACTCTAAACCTGGTTTGAGGTCAGTGGTAGTTTAACTAAGCATCTTGTGGCGGTCAAAAACAGTTTTGCGCTGCTCCTGGACCTGCTTTTTCCAGCGCTGCTGTGCTCCCTCAACCCGCTCCAGGACTGTGTTGCCTCTGGCCTGGGCGCTGTCCACCTGCGGGCGCATCTCCTGAACACGCAAGAAAACAAGAATAAATTAAATCAAGGACTTCACATTCAACTGAAATTAAATAAATGCATGTACTGTTATGTGTTGAATGTTTACCTCAGAGTCCTCCTCATTGTGCAGAGGTTGGGTGTACGGGTCATGTTTGCGGATGAGAGGATCGACTAGTAGCAGGAACAGCATGTAGAGCAGCAGCGCACCCACAACGGACAGATAAATGATGATGGTTACCTGCGACAGACAGGATAGGAAATGGTTAAAAATGCTAACATTGTTGGGTGTAAAACTATTTCAACCCTTAACATTAACGTTAATACAAAGTCAATTTTCCCATTTCTTCATAAGTGATGCCAGTAGAAGCAGATCTTAAGCCAGCCCTCTGCAAACACTGACACTATTGCACACTTCTCTCACAGCTTGTTTTTCTTTTGACGTAGCAGATAAACTACATAAAAAAAATAAAAAGAGACTTCATAATATTTTAAATGAATCATATAATCGCAGCCACACTGTTAATCTTTAGTGAGGTTTAATATTTAATGAGGAATGCTGCCAACAGTCAGAGTAAAACCCGCAGAAAGCCAGCGGTACCTTGATGGTGTTGCTACTTCGTTCCTCGTACTTGCACTCGCACAACAGGCAGTAAGCTTCCACATCATGGCCGGGCACCGGCATGGGCTCCACTACATGGAGGCAGTTACTGGAAAACACATCAAAGTGTCCGTGTGTTAAACATTTCTACCAAGTACCAGACGATGTAATCCCTCCATAGGTTTCCACTGGTTCCTCCCACAGTGCAAAAATGTGCAGGTAAAGTTAACTGGTGACCTAAGTTGACTGTAATTGTGAATGTGAGCGTGAATGCTCGTCTGTCTCTGTGTGTCTCTCGCCCAACGACAGCTGTCCCCATGACCCTCAATAATAAGCAGGTACGGGGGGTCTACAGGGCAAAAACAAGATGAGTGATGACTGACTAAATAATATAGACTTATATTTCTCTTACCAATCCTTCTGGGAGACATTTCTGTTATATATGTGGCCACTGATGTTTCTGTATGGCGGGCAGATGCACTTGCAGCGAACATCCTCGAAGTTCTGTAATTGTAAAAAATAAATAAATAAGATAAATACATGAAGTGGGCCCAACATTTGGCATGTACACAAAGTTACAGCTTGAAAGGCAAAAACCAAACTATGAATAGAAACAGTTTTACATGGAAGGCGACAAGAAAAGCACATAACAAAGTCAAATCGATATCCAAGATCCAAACAATCATTATTTACAGAAACGTAAGAAAGACTTCAATGTAAAGTGTATTTTTCATATGGAAGAGAAATGCTGGTGTCTGGGTACAAAACTGTGCAAACCGTCACAGATTATTATAATTACTTTGGAAAAATGTTTGGATTCACTAGAAATTCTTGCCCTCAGTTTTAGCTAAATAATCTCTTATGACCAAATGTTATATTAAAGAAAGAAAATAGAAGCACACGCAGTAGAAGGTTGCTGACCACCTTTAGCTAAACCAAATTATAATAAATGATAAAATTAAACACACTACACAATATGTTTTTTTTCCCCTCTTCTTCGTTTTAACATAACAGATAAATGAAATTAATAATTAAATAAAAATGTACTTTCTTAGTCTCGGAACAACTGGCTAAAGTGAGCAACCTAAAAATACCAGTAACTCCACTGTGGGAGGAGAACATAATGGTCAGCAACCAGTTTATGAATGCCACTACTGAGAGTTTATGTGTGGAGCTCCATGTTTTACCTTCGCCTGTGCAAAACAAACAACATCCAGCAGGAACAAGGTCGCTACTGCGGCTACAGCGAAGCTCCAGGATCTGTCAGACGACATTTTTGCACGACGGATGCAGAATCGCCTGCAGCAGTCTGTCCAAACACAACAAAGCCCTTTAGATAACTGCAGCAGTTAGATAAATAGGAAAACCAGCGGAACAAAGGACTTCACTGCGGTAACACTGAAGATGAAACAACCTTATCATACAACAAAAACAAGCAATATAGTAAACTTACGTTGTAATAGTAGCAGACTGGTGTGTTTTTGCTATGCATTCATGTAGCCGCACACCAGCTAGCTTAGAGGAAAGATCGCTCAATTAGGTTTGGGCTTCCGTATTCCGGGTTTGACGTCACGGATGAGGCAATCTGAAACATGCAGCGACACTGCCACCTACTGGACAACACAAAACACAGATTTAAAAGTTATTTTACAGACTAATATTTGACATATAAAACATATGACCATGTAATAAAATATGGTGCGTTGTTATATACAGATCTATCTATCTATCTATC